ACTAAGTTTTAATTAAGTACGTACAATAACGTTAAGTTTAAATTAAGTAATATTCTATATACATTATTATTATGTATTTAAAATAACATTATTTCTACTAATATATGTGTAGTATATATATATATATATATATATATATATGCTAGATGTACTTTCGCAGGGTCCCCGAAAGTGTTCTGTTTCAAAAGTAAATAAAACCAAAATTAAAAATAAATATTTTTATTTCTTGGTTTTGAAGTCCATATGTCATGCTGTGCTGTAGCTTACAGAATGCATGGTTCTTCTTGTGATTCATGGCATGCGCATGTTTTACTGACATCACGACAGCACAAATTGCAACATTAAGCGTCGCATATGTGACTTCATTTTAGTGTCTACTGACTGACTGGTAGACAACACACTATTGTATAGTGGTGCGAGTGGTTAAAACAGCTGACCCCTCCAGGCGGCCTTCAGCCTTCTTTCGGGTAAATAATTTAAAAATAGAATTAGAAATTTTCATTTGCTTAAGTATACTTTATTTTTTCTCGGTATGAATGAAATCACGTGACTCTTTTCAACGAATACAGAAAGTTCACGAGAACATCTTCAGTTTCCTGAAATTAGCTAGCATTTGCTTTAGCAAGCTGTTATCAAACTGAAAACTTTTAATCGGAAGCCAAAAAGCAATAAAGACCAGGAAATGACTAAGTCGGGATGAAGAAAGTCGATAATTTTTATAGTTGTGCATACAGAAACAAGAAATTCGGGAGATTTTTGGCAGGAAATTAACAGTTCGGTGTTACGTTGCTAGTAGACTTCTAGACTGGATGTGAACTGAGCTAGATAAAATGTACTGAAAATAATTAAATTAATTAATTTCAGCATTTTAAATAAGGCTTCCATTGCTTTAACGGAGTCTTTTACTTCACCCTTTTCTAGGGTTACATAAAAGGTTTCATTCGAAACCAGATTAGCAAAATTTCAATTAAGACTTCAAAACGTGTTTTTACTTCAGCTTTCTCTATGGTTACGTAAGAGAGGGAGATTTCACTGGTTGAGTAAGACTTCAAGGCGTGTTTTTACTTTAGTTTACTTTAAAGTTATTTAAGAGGAAAAGTTTAATTAAACTTTAAATAAGACTTTAATGCATGTTTTACTTTAGCTTTCTCTATAGTTACATAAAATAGAAGATTTCATTGGTTTGAATAATACTTCAAAGCGTGTCTTTACTTTAGGGTTATTTAACAAGGGAAGTTTAATTAAACTTTTAATAAGACTTCAACTGTGTGTTTTACTTCAGCTTTCTCTGTGGTTACATAAGTGATAATATTTCACCAGGAACCGGTTTAATTAAACTTTAATAAAGACTTCAACAGCATATTTTTACTTCAACTTACTCTAGGACTACTTAAAGAACCGAGATTTCACTCAAAATTAATGAAATTGTTTTAAATAAGGCTTAGTTGTGTCGTTTGCTAAGTAATAATATAATAGTGAAAGACCGACATCAATGATAGATCAAGCTTGTGTGTTTTTGTTTTTTATTCGCAGATGAAAATATTCTTCTAAGCGTAGGAAGAATTATTTTCTAACAGTGACGCGGCTAGTTTTTGGCCCTTTGCCACTTTATTGTAACATCTATAAATAAGAATTGCTTACAAAAAGATTGTTCGAAGTTAAGCACAAAACAACACAATACCATGGGTTATCCATGCTCTGTCCACCGTGGGTATCGAAACCCATATGCTAGCGTTGTAAGTCCGCAGACATACCGCTGTGCCATTGGGGGCCCTAAGGAAAACTCGGGTTGAATGATTTTATATATAACTTACATTTAGAGGTGTTAGTTTTGTTTATTACACTCAGCATGTTTGGAAAATGTTGTTAGGGAATACTTAGAGAAGTTTTTTATTAAGTTGTGAATCAATATTAATATTTAAAAAATCTGTCAGCATATTTATCAGTGACATTTTCAGCATAAAAGAAAAAGAGTTTCCAGCTTTTGGGCTTAGCTACTGATTTCTACTCAAATTTCGCCAAGATGTTTTATTTTCCCATCTTTCCGGAAAATATTAATCATTTCTATTAAGTTCAAATTCACGTTGTTTTTGTACGAAGCTTAACAACAAACCAATCCATCTCTCAGCATCAAGAATCATAAAATTTTATGTTTGGCTAACATAAGTCAATTTCTGAATGAAATTAAAATACAATGTTTGTCTGTAAATTATGTATTACTTTACGCTAGACTTGAAACCGTATATGTACACGAAAGGGGTAGGTTTAAGCCTATTTTCTTCAACAAGCAGAAAAGGATCTGATATGTTGGCTGTACGTGTGTGTGTGTTCTAGACGTGCATGGCTATCTCCATTACGTATCATATTGCAAATATAAGAGAATCGTACATCACATACATCATTGAACTGCCTCCTCTCAGCGCTTAGCGTGTGTTAAGACGCTAG